ACGGCAGTTTGTGGGATGTCGCTGTGCGCAATTGCCTCCCGCCTTTCGCCCACAAAATATACAGTCAATTCAGTTTGCAGTATATTCTGTGAAGAGTTTTGGGACTTGTTGAAGATGTGCTATATCAAATGCAAGGATTATTATATTTAGGCGACGGGCCCTTTGAGCTACTTTTAAAACTTGGAGCAGCATTACTGAGAATTGGATTCCTGAGATTGCCCAGATACACTTGAGTACAAATTCCTGAGCAAATCCAGTCTTAATTTGGTACGTAACTCAGATGGGTGGAGCCGCCTTCTGTATTCTGTTGTGCTAAATCGGGAAAGCTAGTGTTTGCGCTGGTGTTATTTCCACTTTGGGTTGAAGTCCATTGTTTCTAACTTCTGCACACAGTGGCTGCAGTCAATACCAAAGTTTGTATAAATGCCTGACTAATGTGTTTAGTTGCTGCTATTTTACCACTTAGAAAAATGTATTTTTAGCTCAGTGACAAAGAATAGCCAAAGTTTAAAGTGTACACCGAAGATTCAAGCGAGGAAGCAACATTGAAATGCAGCTGCTTTTATATAACTAGGCTTTCTGGTTCTGGGTTCGGCATTTCACACTATAGGCCAGACCCCTTTAACTGTGTGTGTGTGTGTGTGTGTTTGCCTTAAATTGTCTGAGTGTCCCAAGTACTGCTTTCTCTTGAGAGACTTTTAGTTGATGATGCGTATGGTGCAAAAGCAGTTATACCTAAGAGATGAATGCAGTGCATTAGCACAACTATTAATGCTCGTGGTTAGTTCTTATTCCTTTTAGTGTGTGACCAAGTGCTCAAAGGGCTGCTTCCTCCATTAATGACTCTTGGAAAAGCATTTAGTCATTCAGTGGGTACAGCATTTTGGCTTAGCTGCTTATCTAGCTGTTCCCCAGTGAATGATGCTGGCAGACTTTTTAGTTGTCTTCTGGGTTATTCCCTTTGAAGATTTAAATGCAGAGGATTTTGTTTGAATCAAACTTTATCCCAAAGGAAGTTTAGTCAGCAAAAGGCCTGCAGCCTGTTCGAGCAGGATTCAGCTGTCTGTCCGGCCGGCCTCTTCCTGCATCACAGGATGTGCTTCCTTTAGTACGAAATGTTGCATTAGTTCTTCCATATTACAGCTGTGAATGTACTTTCTGGCTCATCAGCAGGACTTGAGAGAGCAAGTCCATTCACTGAGGCTAGGGAATCGTCCCACTTAGCTCCTGTTAACCCTGCAATCCAAAGCGCTAATGAGTAGGGTGGTCCTAGCTGTATAAGCAGCAGGAAAGCTTGCCAGACAGATATCAACGACAATTTTAGCTGGTTAATCTCCAGGAGTACGCCAACGCTCACTCTGGGGTCCCCAAGCTTTGGCTCTTGCCAACCTGTACCCAGTCCCCCTAATGCTGAATTAGGTAAGCAGGGTGTGTCCCTCCACGGAGAGAGTGCGCATTCCAACAATCTACCGCTGGGAATTCCATGTGTAGGTGGGATACATGGAATTCTCAGTTTGATTTGCAGGCTCTTAGCATAGTGATGTGTTTCCGCATGTGCCAAACACCTGGCTGACCCAGATTTGTTTTACTTATTTTAGGACAATTTAGTTGAAGGAGAGCTAGACTTTGGCACAAGTAGTTTTCAGTTAACTATGGGAGCAGACAGTTGAGGCTTTATAGTTTGTTCAATGAAGAAATTCGCAGACAGAAAGATTGAGAGAGGGAATGCTAGGCAGTATGTTTATAATGCTGAGGGGTGTCTGTTGGAGCAATTATTAGCCTCAGAATCTGTAGGTTAGCGCGGGGAAATCACAAGATTTTCCACTCCTGACTGCTATCCAAAGATCTCTATTGCCTTGGGTGAAATTGGCTTTATGTAGACCAGTGAGTATGTGGGACAGGCTGTGAAACACAAGCAGTTGATGCTGTGTCAAATTCCTTTGGGGGGGAAAAAAATATCTGCCAGAAAATGGTATTGGAGCATATAGGGCAGGCATAGATTAAATAATTCTGTGACTGGAAAATATTGCCTGAAGAAAGGGAACCAGGACTGGTACAGATGAATAGATATAATATTCTGTATTCTTTCCAAAGCTTTCTCCTGAGAGACCTTTAGTTGATGGGTAGGTACAGTGCAAGATCAAGCTTGACTGGCCAAATAGCTTGCATCCTGTGCTATGTTTTCCATCAGAAGTCACCAGCCAGGAATGGAGTAGGGATCGTGCTGGAAGCTCTCCTCAAGCCAATAGTCTGGACCATGGCCACCTGTTCTCAGCAGCATTCATACCCTGTTGGGCAGCACGCCTTCTGTAGCGTAGAGATCTGCCCGCTCCTGTTGGTACTCTTCAGCTTTCCACGTTGTGCAAGAACCATCCTACAAACTGTCAGTCCCCACCAGTTCTGACAAATCAACAATGCTTGGAGCTCTCTCCCTCAATCCTCTGCCTTGACACCTCTTTCCCCTCTTTTAGATAATAATAATCCTTGCATTTTGATATAGCGCTTTTCCACGGCTTCTAGACGTCTCAAAGAGCTTCACAGAATATACTGTAAAGTGAATTGACTGTATATTTGTGGGCGAAACACGGCAGCTAGTTGCGCATAGCAGTGTCCTACAAACAGTTGTGGATGGAGTGACAAAATTATTATTTTTTTTGAGGGATTATTATCAGGTGTGTGGAGTAAGGAAACTTGCCCAAGGTTTCGGCCTGCTGGGAATCGAACCCAGGTCTCTCGCTTGCAAGGCGAGTGCACTAACCACTGAGCTACAGGACTCCATGACTGAAGATCACGACGGAAGACCTTCCTCTTTGACTGCTTACGGTCACATCCTCCCTCCCTTCCAATTGCACCATTAACAGCCCCACAGGCTGACAATTTACAAAAGATCGAACCAGTTTGCTTTAACTGGACCTGTAGGTTCTGTTTTTCTAACTCAGCCAGAATTAAATGTCAGATCGGGCACCTCGCAGCTCTACACGTCATTGCAGATATTTGGGAGAGGCTTATAGAAGATAACCATCCATTGGGTAATATGGCCTTGTCCTTAAAAAATCTCCGCCCTTCCATGGCTAGTGAATAATTGGATTGAGCAGTGTTTGTTTGTATCTATGGGTGGGGCGAAACATTAGGCAATTTTCCTTGCTACATGCACCTCTGTTTACCTAGCAGTATATAGGAACCCGTTTTTTAGTCGATTAAATTATGGTAATCGCTTCAAAAAGATCTATAATAATAATTTGGTCACTCAATCCACGTCTGTTTGTGGGATATTGCTGTGGGCAATTGGCTGCCATATTTCACCCACAAAATAGGCAATCAATTTACTTTACAAGAAATTCTGTGAAGCACTTTAAGATGTTTTGAGGATGTGATAAGGCGCTATATCGCAACTATTATGACTAAGGTATGGTTTCGCAACTGATCTGAGTACAGTATTGGGTGTGCTTAATTCATATGAAATGTATCCAGAAGGCACTCCAATCTTGGTCTCAGTAAGTTATTCATTCACTTAATGAATAACTTGGTCTTAGCAAATGATGAAAAGTCATGCAAATCCTATTAAACTTATGTGGGTGAATCACAACTCCCTTTATTTAATAAGATCGGCGGAGTCCTGGAAGATAAACTGAAGTTGATTTGATCAGGTTCCTGATATAGAGCAAATACCAGCTAAGAAGGGTTTCTGTAAACTGGCAGCCTATTTGAGGACTCTTTTAATTGTGTTCACGTGGTTTCAGCAATCGTGGTTTATCAGGGCGTGTAACTATGTTACAGACTTGATTGGAATGTTCTTTTTTTTGAATTAAAAGCTTGAAATAAAGTTGACTTTTGGAATGAAACCAGTCGGTGATATTTGATTGAAGTTAAATGTAGGAATATCTTGGTACATTTCACTGAAATTGACTCATAATCCGAGATTCGTCGCCATTTTTATCTCTTTCCAGACGTGTGAAATTTCCACTTGGGGGTAGTGTGCGCATTTGGAGCTCTTGTCTGTTTTGGATGCTCTTAAATAAAGGTGATGGGTTTCCGCATGTGACAAAGCAAAAAGCTTCTACTTGTCACTGAGCTTTGGGGGTGGTGGCGGGGGAGTCGTATGGGATGGAGGGGACCTTTTCTGCCAGTGGTCTTCGGTGTCGCGTTTCGCCACTGTCAAGCGCTCTGGGACGCTACCCTACACGAGGGGCGCTATATAAACACAAATCGTTGGTGGTGTTGAAAGTTTGGAATAAAACGCAGTTCCTTTGTTGTGACATGAAGATCTGTTCCAGTGACGTAATGGACAGATTGTGGTAGGATTGTGCAGTCACCTTGTCATTGCAAGAAGAGTGCTGTTCAAAACCTGTCCTCCAGCTGCTTCTAACCATCAGTACTATATTAACACAAAACACAGCAAGAGCAAACATATGGCAATAAATGTGGACAAATATCTCGCTTCTTGTTTAGGATTCTGTGACGAAGGATATTCCACTGAGCTGAAGTGTTCAATTGCAGGATTTTTTTTTTCTGTATCAACACCCGGTGTCCTGGCATTAAAAAAAAACAAGTTGCATTATTTTTTGGAGGCCAGTGTCTGAATTCCATTGTTTGCAAATAGGGTGAGGATTCACAAGAGTCCGTTTTCGACAAATTGTAGCTTGAACGTGGTTTTATAAGTATTTTCACTCTCTCACTCTCACTTCTCTCTCTCTGAGTTTAGGTAAAGAGCCCCTTCTGCCTGTTGGGTCTTGCTCTACAGCCACACCTTAAATGAGTCCAGTATCCTGGCCTCTACCACCTTTCTCGATAACTCACTGCACCAGTTATTTATCATCGTGTGTTTTAAAGAAAGCAAAAAAAAAACCGCTACCTCAGACTTACATTTCACACCCCATTTATCCTGCCTTGGCATAAAGGTTTACTTTTCCGTTTTTATAAATGTTGAGGTTAAAAACAGTTGGTCTTAAAGCCATGCTAGTTGCTTTTGAATGCATGGTAACCATTTTGCTTTCTTACAGAGATGTTACGGGTTGTACGAACGAGCAAGGTTCGGCATGTCTATGGCCAAGTGATGAAAAATGACCAGTGCTACGATGACATCCAAGTTTCCAGGGTGACCTGGGATAGTTCGTTCTGTGACGTGAATCCCAAGTTTGTAGCGATAATCATCCAGGCGTGTGGTGGTGGAGCATTCTTGGTACTTCCTTTGCAAAAGGTTGGTGAATTTAGTTGACTTCTCTCTCGCTTTTAAGTTAATAATGTTTGGGGGTTTTGATGCTATCGTCATTCAAAGCATCTCAAATGTGTTTGTGGTAACTGCAGCTTTCTCTCAGTTTTCAGTGCAATGTCAGACTGGATTCTGCGCTCTCACACTAATGTATTCTTTAAAAGGCCAGATTTATCAGCAGGAGAGTGAGTAGGTCAAACGGGCATATTCACACTGGAAAGAGAAGTTTGAAGGGTGATATGAGAATGTTTTTTAAGATTCTAAAGGGACTGAATAACGTAGACCATGATGAGGGGTTTTATCTTGTCCAGAACTGTAGAACCAGCGGACGGGGCCTGTGATTGATCGAAGTGAAGGGGTAAATTCAAAACAAAACATGAAGGAAGTGCTTCTACTGCTGAAGGGAGAGATTTCCTAACAGCCTGCTTAGCTGTGCAGTTCACATCTGCAAATGACTTGTGCGCATCAGGAAATGCTGGTGCTTAGGGAATCCCTCTTCCTTCCTAGATTGAAACCGGCGTTGGCTATTGTAACTGGATGGCTGGAAGGACAGCTGTTTAAATGCTCCAATGTGGCGCCAGCTTCAGCCTCTGTTCCTATTAGGATAGGTAATACAACAGCAAATTACATTTGTGTAGCGCTTTTCATGTTGGGCGGAAGTCCCAAGGTGCTGGACAGTCAGGGATTTGGACCTGAGCTGGGGGTTGGGATCAGGAAGGGCAATCTAACCTGCCCTACATTGCAGATTGGCATCCTTGCATGCGATGTAGCACCTTATGTGGTCACAACCTCTTGAAGCATTCACAGGATTTACTGGTGTAGTGGCTGTTTTTGTAGCTAATTTGCATTCAGGAATGTCCCACAAACAGCCAACTTAGTTCCTCTCTATATTGTGTTATGCAACAGTTAGTCAGAAATGCAAATATTCTTTTCAAAGGAACTGCCTATCTTGCTGCATTCAATTTGGGCTAATGCTATTTATAAGCAAATAGTTTAGACACAGTGGCTGCTATAAATCAGCTGTTTTTTGCTGGATCGCCGCTGGAGAATAAAATTTGGGGGAATAAATTTTCCAGTGTTGAGTAACAAGAGTACTTTAAGTGGAAATTAATAGGATTTCAACCTTTTTTCAAAGAGATTCTGTGCAGCTGGCTATTTATTTCAGTGTTCCACACCAGGAAATACACGGGTCAGTGATTTTTAAAGGAAGAAAAACTCTACCAAGTGTTGGGAGGTATGACTCGATGTGATCCAATCTTAGGAATCAGTGTTGACCATTCGGTGTTGAATGAAATGTACCTTTGCATTGATAGAACCATAGAAATGTACAGCACTGAAGAAGGCCATTTGATACCTTGTGTCTCTGCTGGCTTTTTAAGAGCCATCCTTTCAGTCCCATTCGCCTGCCCTTTCCCCAGTTGACTCGACCCAGGATCTTTTTGTACTGCCTTATTGAAATAATATAGAAGTTGTGTGTATATATATGAGAGAAAGAGAGATGGACAGCACAGAAGTTAGACTGGAAAACTTTTTTATTGATGAGCGAGGTTACGCCTGCTCACCCCCATTAACCGAATTAGACAGAAACATTCCACTTAGGGAACGAGCGTTGTCCTCGCAGAGCAGCCCCTCCTCCCGACCCCCAAAACTCTCTTGGCCCATATTGTCAAAGGACAATGCAGATCTGTAGTCGTGGTTCGACTCCCGGCAGGGCAAAATGTTGGTCAAGTTTCCTTCCCTCTCCACACTCCTCCGTTTACTTAGCAGTAAGTAGGCATTTGGTTGTTAGTCGATTGGTGGATCGCTTTTCCGGGAGTAATAATTTCTTCAAAAAAAAATAATACATTGGTCACTTTAATCCACGACTGTTTGTGGAACACTGCTGAGTGCAATTGGCTGCCACGTTTCGCCCACAAAATATACATTCAAGTCACTTTACGGTATCTTCTGTGAAGCACTTCGAAGATGTGATAAAGCGTTATATCAAATGCAAAGATTAATATTATTATCTGAACCATGTCTTCACAACCAAGCAAGTCAGGTAATGGGGTGGCCTCTGGCCGGGCTCTGAATTCCAGTATCCCAGTATTTCCCCTTCCTCTTTGTAAGGGCAGATCGCACTTCACAGATAGAAAATACTGCAATACCTAGGATAGACTAAAGTTATCTCTGGTGGGGGTGGGGGAGAGAGCAGATTGAGAAGAGGAGCAAGCAATGTAGCTAGTCTTATCGAGTTGGAATTGGGTGGATTCATCTGCTTTGCGCTTCCATATTTTTGGTGGGAGTAGGGGGGAGATCCTTGATCAAATCCTGAAACTCCCAAGAAATATTAGAAATGAGCATTTAATAATTAAAATAACAGCCTAATCGCAGGATAGGCATTGGGAAGGCTGTGTTTATTTCTACCATGACAATCCTTGCATTTGATACAGTGCCTTATCACGCCGGTGAGACGTCTCAAAGCGCTTCTCAGAATATTGTAAAGTGGGGATTGACCGCGTATTTTGTGGGTAAACACGGCAGCCAATTGCGCACAGCAGTATCATCATGTGTTAACGTTTCTCAGGAGTCTGATAAGCTTTGTAAAGTTAAGCTCTGTGGCTATACTGCTATATGCAGTGTTTGCATAGCTCTGTCATAGAATTCTTTATTAGAGTGGGGAAGAACTAGTCAGAACAGAGCATCCACCCTGGGCTTAGGGAGGGTGGGGGGGGGGGGGGGGAGTGTTTCGCTGAATTGCTTGCCCAGCACCCACTTAACAGACGCCCACACCCCTCCTTTCTCCCCCAGCACCCGTCGCCAGAGATTTGCTGCGAGCTCCCTGGTCTCCCTCCTCCTCCCCGCCCCCCCCTCCATCCCCGCAGCTTGCTGCCTTGCCTCCTGTGACTAACTGATGTGAAAAGGCAGCGGCAGCCTCCATTGGAACTGCTGGTAGTGAGTTTTACCTTATATGGTCCCATTCAGTGAGACATCCAGAATAATTTATTTGCTGCCGCTCCGATTGGGCGGCTGGGATCGGACAAGGACCGGGGTTTGGAGGCAGGAGTGTAAGGCGTGTACAGTAACATCGGAATGGATTGATTATTAACCCCATCACTGCCGAACTACATAAGAATATTTCCAATACCTCTACAATATGGGACAAAAACTAAACTTAAAACCTTTCTCCGAGCACTTTTGATCTCTGGATAAGCCTTTGAGGTTCCTAATGTTACTCCTGTTTAAATTCTTCTCCCCCACACACACACACCCCCACCACCACCACCACTGGCAGATGTTTGGGATGGCCTTTCATTCATTCCTTTCCCTTTTTCCAATCCCCCCCTCTTCTTCTCTCCCCTCCCCCTGTCATTCTCTCTGTCTCTTGTGATTCAATTTACCAATGTTCCGCGAGTTCAAGCAGTCCAGGACGCTACCCCGGGTGAAGGGTACTATATAAATGCAAGTTATTGAAGCTGAAGCCGGAAGAACAATGCCCCTCAGTCAGGACTTTTAATCATTCACTCAGCAGTTAAAACAAAGGGTGCAAATCCTTCCTAAACCCTATCTTTGCCACTATCTCTGGTAGCTGAGTCAACCGAATGCTAAGCTTGGGTCTGGAAACTCCTGGGCTCGAATTCCTTGTGGGACTTCCCTTTTACTATTTTGAGGATAATTGAAATGTGTACAGTGGCACTTCTATAATACAAAGCAGATTCCGACTACATTTAAGGCGCTGTTTATGGTTCACCAGCCTGTCTGGCTGATCAGTGAGGTTTGGAAGTGCAGACATGTCTTTAGAGCCAAGGTCCGAGCTGGGACATAACATGCTATGCGGTTGCCCTTTTTAGGCACACGTGAATATATATTTTCGGCTTTCTGCTTTGAGCAGTTGTGTGGCTGATCTGTTTCTAAATGCCAAGGCTCCTTGGCTCTGGATTAGCAGGCTGTGGGAATTCTAGCCCAGAGTCTAGACTGGTGCCTGTAATCCAGTGCCGTTCTGGAGCCTTGTTACATTGTGAGGATTTTGCTGTCTTTTGAATGACTGTCTTTTCAAGCCCAGGAGCTTCCAAACTGCTTCACGGGTTGTACTGTAAAGTGCAGTGACTGTGTATTTGTCAGTGGGCATGACAGACAGTTTGTGCACAGCAATGTCCCGCAAACAGCCATGAAGTGAATGACTATTTGTGTCTGGGTATTGTTGACCAGGATGGTGGGAAAAACTCCCATCTCTTTCCAAATGGGATCTTTAATGGATACCTGAACAGGGCTGTATGTTTTAAGCCGCTCGAGTTTGGATGAGATTTACATGCACTGAGAAACAACAGGCAATCAATTCACAAGAAAGAGGGCGACTCCACAGAAGTGAAACTCATTTCAGTTTATCTCCTTAGTTATATTGGGTCATGGATTCTTCCGATTTCTAGATTGGGTTTGTACTGTGGCACTCACTGATCGAAATCCCACATTGCCTTTGGAGAGTTCACGGTTATGGCCTGCAAGAAACTTAATAATTATAATTTTTTTTTGTCTTTCTGAATGAAAGCAAAGCGGCAAATTCTTAGCCAGTTCATTCGTTCTCTCTATTGCTTGGCAGGTTGCCGGCCACTGTTTACTGTAACCCCAGCTGCGGGATAGGGCAGTGTAAGTCCTAGGTGAACTCAGTAGCTGTTAAATGTAGCTCGCTCTCCAATTCAAAAAAAAAACCCACCCTGTTGGAAATCCGCTTCTGTTTCTGCCAGTGATCTAGCTGTCCTCCTTTGCCCTGTGTGTGTGTGTGCATCTTCAGTGAGTGTTATTGTAACAAAGCTCTACGTAGACTGTGGGAGGGGGAATCAAATGCTTGTGGGGGGGGTAGTGTAGTGAGCCACTGTGCTGTCCTCGATGCCAGAGCCAGTGTTTGAATTCAACACAAACTGAGATAAAAGGTCATTTGACTTTGAAGGAATCAGGACAGGCTCCACTCCTGTGTGCACCTTGTGAGTGGGCGTGGGCCAAAACTGCCCATT